ACCCATTAGTATCCACTTTGACTTTTGCTCTGAGCACCCTCACAATCTGTTCCACTCACTCCACGCTACCCCCAATGTCTACAGTAATAAAGAAACAGCATTTTCCAGCCATTTCCTGTTCTGAAGAAGACTCATATTGGACTTGGAAGTTTAACCCTGTTTCTCTCTCGACAGATGCTGCCAGACTTGCTGAGTTTTCCAAACTTCTTGTTTGTATTTCCGATTTCCAACTGTTTGCTTTTATTGAAAAATATTCGCTTGCTTTTGGTTTAGAAGCATCAGAAATTGTGTTTTATTTTGTTTAGGGAAAACCCACACATATTGCAAAGCCTTTGGTTTCAGTTCACTGAAGTCCTGCGTAAAGGAAGGGCAGTTTCTCTTGGAGAAAGGAGTTAGTTCAGAACAATTAGGAAATAGGTTACTTAGCATTAGGGTTTTAGTTTGAAAGTTCCAGACCAGAAGTGTTTGGCTAGAACCATGAAGAGCTTATTTCAAGCTGCGAAAATCTAAGATCTGTTGTGGAAACAATCAAGAAAAAGATTATAAAACTCACAGGACTAGGAATTGAAAGAAATAGGTAAGTCAAACCTTTAAATGTTGGAGAAAAGGTATGTGAATATTGTAAAGTGATGGCGTTGGGATAGATGGGATTGTATTTTTTAATGTGTTTCACAATCTTGCACCTCATGTTTAATGTAAATAGCTTGGTTTATTCTATGTTATCTTAATTTATTTTGCCTAATTAGGTTCTGTTTGGTTGCTGAAACCAAAAGCTGTGGCACTGCATGCGTGTGTTTCAATAAAAAACCAAGTTACATAAAAGAAAACAAAATATGATCCATCAAGCAAGATTGAAGTCTCAGAACAGATTTGTCCAGTAGTAACATCAGCTGAGGTTATACAGAATGAAAATGTAGTCTACTACCTAAGTGGAGAACAACTGCAGAATCCCGTGGTGCAGAAGGATTTAAGTATTCTGGTGCCTGTGTCATAAAAAGTTAGTAAGCAGATACAGAATATAGACAAGAAGGCTAATGGGATGATATCCATTAGTGCGAGGGGAAATAAACATAAAAATAAGGAAGTTATGCTTCAGTTATACAGTGAATTTGGTGAGACCACATCTCAAATACTGTGTGCAGTTTTGGCCTCTTTATTTAAGGAAGGATGTCAATGCTCAGAGGTTCAGAAAAAGTTTATAAGGTACCTAGAATGAATGGGTTGTCTTCTGAGAATAAGTTGGACAGATCGGGCTTGTTTCCATCGGAGTTTAAAAGAATGAGGTGTGACTGAATTGAAGTGTCTAAAATCCTGAATAGACATGACAAGGTGGATGTGGCAGGGATGTCTCCTCTTCTGGTTCAGCCTAGAACTAGAAGGGACTGTTTTAAAATTAGGGGTCACCTTTTCAGGACAAAGATGAGGAAAAATTTTCCTTGCAGAGGATTATGCAACTTTGGAACTCGCTCCAGAAGGCAGAGGAAACAGAATCTTTGAATATTTTGAAGGCAGACATTGATAGATTCTTGTTAAGCAGGGGTAATAAGGGTTATCAGGGTAGATGGGAATGTGAAATTCTGAACACAGACAGATCAGCCATGATTTTATTGAATGGTGAAGCAGGCTATAGGGTTTGAATAGTCTACTTCAGCTCCTATTAGTATGTTCATGTCATGTGAAATTCCTTTGTCTGAATTTGTCTGCTAATCATATTGATCTTAAGGATGTCATACCACACAAGACAAACCATAGATTTAATAGTAGAAAAGGCTTTTTAACTAGAGCTTTGTGCATCTACTCATGAGGCATGATCCTCTTAGAAAATTAACAGAGATTTCAATTAGTCCATTGTAGATATCATTTCACTTATATCAAAGTGATTTCAAGGTATAAGTTTGATGTTTGTAACTAGTTTCACTTAGTGGCTTCACTCTAAGACTAGTCACATGGCCACATTAGAACTTGTGAATAATGCATTGAAACTGAGAAATACACATAGACATCAAATACTACATCAAAAAGCTGTTTCCGCCAAGTGATACTAGGCAGTGTCATAAACAAACAAATTCAAAGAATATACATTGCATGGAACAAACAAGAGTTGTGGACTAACATCCAAAATTCTTTCTTATACACCATTTTCTTTCCCCTTCATATTGCTTCATTATTCATTTACCCATGCAAGTGTTCAGTATAAATGGCATCTTTTCCAATGGATGAAGGACAGTCTCCTTGATTACAACACCAATTGTTTCCTTTAGTAATACAAATCCCAAAAAGTGTTCCTTTGTGCATGCAAGCTCACAACTATAAGTGTCTGAAGCCACATCCACAAAACAAATGATCTCTGTCATTTCTTCAATATGGTCTACGTCTGATGCACAATCTACAATGCATGAAATTACAGGGCACTGTGAGATTTTACATTTTTGTTTCATGGGTCTTGATATGAGTTGAATCAGTTCATTCTGAAACACTTGCCCAAGATTTCCTTGTGTGTTTCAGTATGTTTTATGATGCTCAGCCATAGCTGGATCAAAATATTCTAGATATCTTGAATATCCAGGTATTCTACAAATTTCAATGTGTTCCCATTGTTAGGAATTTGCAGATGTTTTGTATTCCCCAAACGGCCAGATTTTGCATAGTAAGAACTCTGCTAAAACAACTAAACATTCTAAGATTTGCTGTCAATACATTTCTTCTTGCTTTATGAGATGCACATTTTCTTCATCAATAGTTTTCTCGATTATCAATTGCAGTTCAAGATATTTTTTTCCATTCCTGAAAATGCTCAGAATGTCCACTACTTGTCTTGCTTACTGCTGGAATTGTAGGCATGGATTTTCCAATCTTTTGAACTTTTAAGAAAAAAAGAAATGATGCACCAAGCATTACTGGTAAGCACTTTGTAACCAACATAAAACATGAAGTCCTTTGACATGGAATACCGTAGCCACTTACGGTGCAGTTCTTCTCCATTGATAAGTTTCCTTTCATAATTAATGATCATTGAGAATTCTCTTTGATTACATATCTGTAGCAAAATTAATTTGCTAAATTTGTTCTGGCCCATGTTGCACTAAGATTGGTCACAAACAATGAGCACCTTTAGGCCAAGAAACAGGACATAGTTCAAATTGGAGACAGGCCCATGTCCTTTCAAATCTTGGTCTTTTCAGAATTCTTGTTAATCTTATATATTCTGATTGTCTTTCTCAAATTCTACTTCAACTTGCGAGACTGTGGGCAAATCTGTCATCTCACGTTCAGTCTCAGCTTGATCCTTAGTGCTACAAGTACATTTTGATGCAGCGGACAAAGACGCTATTTAAAAATTTGTCCTTGGGACATTAGGCATTTATCCCTAGTTGCCCAGAGAGTAGTCAAGAGTCGACAACATTGCTGTGGGTCTAGAGTCATACGTAGTCAGACCAGGTAAGGATGGCAAATATCTTCCCTAAAGGACATTAGCGAACCAGATGGTTTTCACAGATGGTTATGGTCACCAATAGACTAGCTTTCCAGAAAAAAAATTCCATATTTTTATTGAATTTTGTAACCATGGTGAGATTTGAACCTCTGTCCCTGTGATATTTGCCTGGGCCTTTGGATTATTAGTCTCATGACCATATCACTAAAACCATTACCTACCTTAACTTTTGAAGGGAACCTTTTCTCTCTTGTTTTGTTTTTCTTTTCAGCTTTCTGTTTATGATGTTGTGCCTCAGAAGTTTATCCTATCTCTATTTGATCTTTAAGAGCTGCTTGCATTTGCTGTGGTTGGAGGAAGCTCATACTATTCCTTATCCCAGTCTGACAGGAATCCCCTCCTCTTTGCCATTTTCCTGTACCAGCTTTTACTAATTCTCAGATTCCCATTTCAAAGGATGCTGCTGCACTGTGAACGACCTCCTGTTGAAGATCACTGAGTGAAGGTGTTTGATTGGGCTGAAGGACCACTAAGCCACTTAACTAACGTGGCAGAACCAACACGCACAAAGACCACAAGCAATGATGGGATTGTGCCAAAACGGGGTGCATCAGTGAGCACATGTGGGATGGGACAAGGACAGAATAAACTATTTGGTTGGGACATCATTTTAAAGCTCAGTGTGGTTTCAGTTCTGTTTGGTTTTGCCTCCATTCCACTCCTCCAAATCTTGCTGCCCTTGACAATTGCCTGGATTAGCTAATGTCTGCACCAGCTCTGCGAACAGGCAGTTTTTAGATACAATACTTGAATTGCTGAAAAATTGTCACAGCAGCAGTGGCTGGAGACAGCTGTAACTAAAATCATCCTATTTTACTAAATTAAAAATATGTTAATATTAGATGTAATATATTACAAATGAAATGGTGACTAATCTGCCGAGTAAAGTAAAAGACAGGGGAGATTTTCCTTTCAAAAAGAAACGACTTCAGGTTTATCTGTACGTTTGGCTACTTGTCTTGGTTTTTCTATTTAAAAAGAGTTATACCTAAAAGACACTTTTGAACAGGCAAAAGAAAACTCCGAAGTCATAAACATAAAATAAATAAAAACGCTGTGGATGCTGGAGATCTGAAACACTTCTGAACAGGCAAAAGAAAACTTCCATATTATAACATAAAATAATTTTAAAAGATGTGGATGCTGGAGATCTGAAACAAAAATAGAAAGCGCTCAAGAAACCCAGCATCTACAGGGAGAAAAACAAGAGTTTCGAGTCCAAACGACCTTCGTCAGAATGGTTTTCAAACAACCTTGGGCTTGTGCATCTACCATATAGTAACAGAATGGTAGGTGAAAGCTGACCAGGTTACGTCCGAGGCCACTTTGTAAAGTTAATCCTAAGCAGGGCCACTTAATAAGCAGCTCACAGCGGAAAGTCGAGTGGAAGGTTAAACAGACGCTTCTCGGATAGAGGGCGGAGCTAGCTGCTGTACATCTCACCGCAAGAACATGTGAGCCAGTGTGTGCAGGACGAAAACAACCCCTGAAAAGGCATGGGAGAAAAATGTCAGAAAAGATGCAAATGAAGTACCAACGAAGTAGGTTACTATGCCGCTCAGAACTACTGAATGAGAAGAGATGACAGAGAAAGAGAGCAGATGTCCCGAGATGTTCCCCAGCTAAATGCGGGAATGAGGACCTGGGTTGAGACGAAATGCCTGATAAGAGTCACTGTGAGGGGAACCTGGCGATCAGAGAGCACAGAACCCTGTATCAGTGCTGAGAGTGCAAGAGCCTGAGAGCGGAGAAGGATGCTGAGAGGAACCGGGGAGCTGTGTCCCAGCCTGGGAGCAGGACAGCTCAGACTGAAGCTGCGGGCAGGGAGACTGTCCCGAACGACATTAGCAGATTAACATCATCCCTGTGCACTAGGGAGCGAGTAGCCACCACACATGGCCCACCATGACGAGTGACCGGGATTGGAATTAAGGTACAAATGATAACTGCACGGCAGATTCTTGAAAGTGGATGGATGGATACGAGAGTGGCTTGGTTCGAGTTTGGGTGCAATGTTCAAGAACAAAAACAGAAGTTGCTGGAAAAGCTCGGCAGGTCTGGCAGCATCTGTGAAGGAAAAAAAAAAGTTAAATTTTCGGGTCCGGTGACCCTTCTGACGAAGGGTCTGAGGTTTCTGAGGAAGGGTCATTGGATCTGAAATGTTAACTCTGGTTTCTCTTCACAGATGCTGCCAGACCTGCTGAGCAACTTCTGGTTTTGTTCCTGATTTACAGCATCCGCAGTTCTTTCGGTTTTTATTGGGTGTAGTGTTGTTCAGAGTGTTCGACCTGCACGGAGTTGACCCTGTATGACAAACACACAGACATTAGCTTTGTAGAGAGTTGTGAACAGGAGCACTCAGCGATCTGACTCACTCGGAAATCCAGAAATTGCGGTGTGTCTCTCGCTGGGCTTTATAAAGCGACAGGGGAGGGCTCTTGTAGTACGTTGGTGGTGTCCCTACCTATGGACGAGGAGGCCCAGGTTCAGATTCCACCTGCTGCAGAGGTGTGAATAGGATGATCAGAAAAAATATATAAAGCAACAGGAAAACCGCCCCGTATCTCATTCATTTAGGCAGATTGCTCACAACTAGACTGCTATAAACATTGTTTTATTTCTGTCTGGTATCTCCCGGCGCAGAGACTGGACTGCATCTACACCAGTCAATACCAATACATTGCATGCACGCTTCTGAAGAACTAGAGGCAACTTTTAAATTATTTCGATTTCATTCAGAGTCAAACCAAAGGTGTGTAAATATCAACGTGTCAAACACAAAGGTTTGCATTCATAAGAGCTTGTCCCCTCTAGTATTCAGAGATCTATTTTAAGGTCACATTAAATAGCTCTAAGAAACAGTAATTAAGGACTGAATGCAACCACTGGCTATATTTAGGGGATCGGAGTCAATATCTGCCGATGGTGCAAACGAAGGTCAAATTGTAACCACGGCCTAACACTCACACAGTTCTATTCCTGGATGACAGCACTAATAATCGGTGTTCAGAAATTTAATAATAGGCGTATTAACACTGAGGAGAATTCAAGCTTGTGTCATAATCATTTGAAAAAAAAAACATATACAACTGAAAACAAGTTTAGCCGCCTGCTTAATAATCTTGTTTTCAGGGAATAAATGCACAAGTTCACAGAATCGTCCTGATACAGAAGCCTTTTTGCAGTAACATTGCACATCGTTTCTTTTTTAAGATATTCATCCAATACATGTTTACTGCCTCAATCCATTTTCCCTCAATCACACTCTAAGCAGTGCATTCCAGACCCTAAATACACACTGTGTGAAAACGTTTTTTTTTCTCTCATCTTGCATTTGCTTCTTCTACAAAACACTTCAAAACTATGCCCTCTGGTTGCCATCCATTTATCAGGCCGAACAGTTTCTCCCTGTTAACTCTGTCCAGACCCTTTATGATTTTCAAAACTTCTATCCAATCTCCTCTTAGCCTTCTCGCCTGCAAAGTAAACAGTGCCAACTTTCCAGTCTTTGCTCAGAACTGAATTTTCTTGTCACTTGTACCAGTCTTATGAATCACTCCAATGCATTCAGATCCTTTCTGTGGTATGGCAGTCTGCACTGTAAAGGTAAAGTCACCATGGTATCCCAGATAGGGCTGCTGTCGTTAGAGAGAGAGAGAGAACTGGTGGTGGTTTAACCTGAGCATTGCCACAACTCAGCTGAAGCAAGAAGTTGAGAAGGAGAGTCTTTCATCTTAACCTCAGCTAGTATGGGAATCGAATCCACGCGGTTAGCATCGGTCTGCATTGCAAACCAACCATCCAACTGACCAAGCTACCCTCCTACTAGTATATAACACGTACAACTTGATGCAATATGTCGGCAGTTCAACCTGTAAACTTAAAGATAATTCAAAGGCCCCAGCAGAAACCTTGTCAAAAATCTCATTGTTTAGTTCTTGCCATATGGAACATTAATAACTGCAGAACAGGATATTAACAGTTCACCATTTTTAAAAAAAAGTGTAAGAAATCATGAAATATGATTCTATCCCCATGAAAGTAAATTTGACACATTAGTCACCTTACACCAGAGTGCCCTTGCCAAGCATAATACATTGGGCTAGAAATTCACCTTTAGGACACTGGATGTTATTGCATTGTCCATTCATCAAATTCAGCGTCTGACATTTCCTTGAGGTCAATGGCCTGAAAGTTGTTTAGGCCTATTTTCAGACATGAGGAGATAGTCATGATTCACTCCCGTCTCCGCAACTCTGACGGTGCCCCTCACTGTTGTCTTTCAGCCTGCCAGTGCAGACTGTGACCATCCAGTTGAAGCCCAGATAGCTGGTTGAAAGTGCCGATGCTGGAAAGACCATCTGTAATCTCTGCCTGAAGCCGTACTGCAGTCATTGAAATGGTGTTGTTTTGGAAGGTGAAGACATGCAGGGAGGGGCACCTGAAGGACAGGCTCAGATGGAATGCAGGGGGGTAAACAGTAATATACTTGGAAATGAATGTACTGGATCTCCAATTTCAAGCATACAACACAAGGAAGGATGGGAGGCACAGTGGCATTGTCCCTGCCTCTGAAGCAGGAGGCCTAGGTTTAAGTCTGCGACCCTTCCCCGGGGTCTCTCGCCCC